GATCTACTGCCTGCTGTAGCACAGAAAATGACCATTCAAACGTGGGCGCTTTACATACACCACAAGGTAGGTGGTGCAGACACCGCACAAAACCCCACCATGATTAAAGAATCTCTGTGGAAGGTGGGAATGCCCGACGAATATCACCTACCTCCACAACCATCTCCTATCCGAGACGCTGCGCCATTTGATCCGTCTCGCCCTGACGGAGTTTGGTTTACAGACGACAGTGCTAAACTGATAAAGGGAAAGTGGAAAGGAAGGGCTGCAGCAGTCCCAGCTGATAACTCCACCGCGCCTCTGACTACTGACATAGAGGGATCCGCCCAGCTCATGGAATTAGCGACAATTAAGGTGGCCTGTGAGGTAGGTGCTAGCACTGTTTACACAGACTCCTATGCTGTATGGGCAGGAGCCACCCAGTGGATAACTAATTGGAAAAATAACCACTGGATGATTGGAGGAAAACCAGTCTGGGGATTAGAATATTGGGAGTGGATCTATCACCATGCAACCCAGCTAACCCTAAGCATAGGTCACGTGTCAGCCCACCAACAGAACAACGCTCTGGCTGCCCAATTAAATAACTTAGCCTATGCGATAGCCCAGATCTCTGCCACCCAGGTGGATTGGGAATGCTTATACACATGGCTACACGAGACTCTGGGGCATACAGGCAGTGAGGAACTGGTGAGGCAGACACATATCAGAGGGTGGCCTATCACCCATCAGCAAGCTAGGGACTTAGTACAAGCCTGTGCTCTTTGTGCTGAGACCCGAAAGCACGTTAACGAGGGACAGAGGTTTGCGAGAATACGAGAGGGAAAAACACCATGGGCAACCTGGCAAATTGATTACATTGGCCCATTACCCTCCACCAGACTGAGGTGTACTATGTTTTGACTGGAGTGGAGGTTGTCTCGGGAATCGGCTTTGCCTACCCGACCCGATTGGCAATGGGGTTGTCAACCATCACGGGACTAAACCGCTTAACAGCACTCGTCCCAACACCCCAAGAAATACAACTCAGATAATGGCTCACACTTTAAGAATAAGCTAGTTCAGGAGTGGGCCCTCCAGAACGGAGTTCAGTGGACCTTTCACCTCCCGTACCGACCCCAGTCCAACGGCATAATTGAGAGATGGAATGGGTTGCTAAAGCACCGCTTAAAGCCCACAGATGGTATATGGGGAGACAGACGAGACGTCATACCGGGTAGCCCTATCAGTAGAGGATTCTTTCCCACAGGGAGAAACTCTCCAGCCCAAAACACACCACTGACGGACTCCACATATGCTCTGGGGACACCATTGTAATTAAACACCCCAGCCTTGGAATACAGACACACGTTCTCCAAACTTATAAAGGAAAAGGGGTGTGGACCACCTTAAGTCCTGGAAGGATGCCAATAACTATAACTGAGGCTTGGATTGTATCCAAGACCGGCTGACTTTGTGCTTTCTTTCAGAATCAAAAGTGGTAACCTGGAATACTACTGTTCATACCCTCACAAAACTTGGTTGTGTGGCAGACCTCGACTCGAGCCACAGCATGATGTTGGATTCGTTGTAACTTTCCTTGTGGCCACAGCAGCCTCCACCGTTCCCAAACACCCTCTCCAGAATGCCATCCGAACCATTGTCTCAGCTGCTGACGCCATGGACTGTTGGATGTGTACACTGCTGAACTCTTCCACAGGACTAGCGATTGAATTTGTTCCTCTAAACTTGAACAGCTGGTGGAACAAGAGCGACATCTTCAGGTGGGGACCAGCCTGGTTCGATGACAGCGACCCCGACCACCAGGATCTTCAGAGGGTATGTCTACACTACAGCGCTAATTTGAACTAACTTAGTTTGAATTAGTTAATTCGAACTAAGCTAATTCGAACTAATGCATCCAGACTAAAAAACTAGTTCGAATTAGCGTTTTGCTAATTCTAACTAGCATGTCCACATTAAGTGGACCCTGAACCAGGGTTAAGGATGGCCGGAAGCAGTGCCAGCAGGGCATCAGATGAGGACTTAGAGCATGGAGATGCTGTCTCAGGCTAGCCGAGGGCTGTGCTTAAAGGGACCCGATCCCCACCCCGGACAGACAGTTCTCAGGGGTGCCCCGCTTGAAAACCAGTCCTGTCTTGGAGTGCCTGGAGTACCCACACTGGGCACATCACAGCACTCGGCCATCAGACCGGCTGCACTTGCTGCAGGCTGCCATCTGGGGAGAGGGAGCAATTGGGGGGCTGCAGGAGAGGTTCCACGCCCAGAAGCCCGCAGAGCCAGCCCAGTCCTCCCCATCGGGGGCTCGTACCCCATTCCTCCCTCACCTCCTTCCACTTACCCTTCCCTAGCCCCCCTTCCTGATGTACAAAATAAAGAAAACGTGTGGTCAAAAATAGAATCTCTCTTTATTGAACAAAACTGGGGGAGACTGGGAAAAGGAGGTGGGAGAGGGGAAGAGAGAGGGTGGGAGAGGGGAGGGCA